GGGTCCCACCAGGACGGGACCTTCTCCAACCTGGGTCCCACCAGGACGGGACCTTCTCCAACCTGGGTCCCACCACCTCAAACCTTCTCTACATTTGGTCCCACCACCCCAAATCTTCTCCGACCTTCTCCAACCTTGGTCCCACCACCTCAAACCTTCTCAAACCTTCTCCCAACCTTCTCAAAACCTTCTCCAACCTTGATCCCACCACCTCAAATCTTCTCCAGCCTCAGTCCCACCACCCTGAACCTTCTCAAACCTTCTCCAAGCTTCTCCAAACCTTGGTCCCACCACCTGAAACCTTCTCCAAACCTTCTCCAACCTTCTCCAAACTGTGTCCCACCACCCCAAACCTTCTCAAACCCTCACCAAACCTTCTCCAACCTTCTCCCAACCTTCTCAAACCTTCTCAAACCCTCATCAAACCTTCTCCAAACATTCTCAAACCTTCTCCAAACTGTGTCCCACCACCCCAAACATTCTCCAACCTTGGTCCCACCACCCCAAACCTTCTCCCAACCTTCTCCAAACCTGCTCCAACCTTCTCAAACCTCATTCCCACCACATGAAACCTCCTCCAACCTGGTTCCCACCACCCCAAACCTTCTCCAAACCTTCTCCAAATCTTCTCCAAACTTCTCCAAACTTCTCCAAACCTTCTACAACCTTCTCAAACCTCATTCCCACCACATGAAACCTTCTCCAATCTTCTCCAAACGTCCTCAAACCATCTCCAAACCTTGGTCCCACCACCCCAAACCATCTCAAACTGTCTCCAGACCTTTACCAACCTTCTCCCAACCTTCTCTAACCTGGTTCCCACCACCCCAAACCTGCTCCAAACCTTCTCCAACCTTCTCCAAACCTTGTTCAGACCTTCTCCAACCTTCTCCAACCTTCTCAAACCTTCTCCAAACTGTGTCCCACCACCCCAAACCTTCTCCAACCCTCACCAAACCTTCTCAAACCCTCTCCAAACTGTGTCCCACCACCCCAAACCTTCTCCGACCTTCTCCACACCTTCTCCCAACCTTCTCCAACCTCAGTCCCACCACCCCAAACCTTCTCCCAACCTTCTCCGACCTTCTCCAACTTCAATGTCCCACGCAGGGAGCCCCCGAGGGCGTCATTGACCGCTGTAACTCCATCCCACCACCCCATGACCATGTCCCACCACCCCAAACCTTCTCAAACCTTGGTCCCACCACCTCAAATCTGGGTCCCACCACCCCAAACCTTCTCCAACCTTCTCCAACCTGGTTCCCACCACCTGGTGTCCCACCCACCAGGGAGCCCCCGAGGGCGTCATCGACCGCTGTAACTCCATCCCACCACCCCAAACCTTCTCCAAACCTTCTCCAACCTTGGTCCCACCACCTCAAATCTGGTTCCCACCACCCCAAACCTTCTCCCAACCTTCTCCAACCTTGGTCCCACCACCCCAAACCTTCTCCAAACCTTCTCAAACCATCTCCAAACTGTGTCCCACCACCCCAAACCTTCTCAAACCTTCTCCAACCCTCTCCAACCTTGGTCCCACCACCCCAAACCTTCTCCAACCTCAGTCCCACCACCCCAAACCTTCTCCAACCTTCTCCAACCTTCTCCAAACCTTCTCAAACCTTCTCAAAACCTTCTCCAACCTGTTTCCCACTACCCCAAACCTTCTCCAATCTGGTTCCCACCACCCCAAACCTCTGACCTTCTCCAAACCTTCTCCAAACCTTCTCCAACCGTCTCAAACCCTCACCAAACCTTCTCCAACCTTCTCCAAACCTTGTCCAAACCTTCTCAAACTCTCTCCAACCTCGGTCCCACCACCCCAAACCTTCTCAAACCCTCTCCAAACCTTCTCCAACCTTCTCCAAACCTTCTCCNGGAGACCCCAAAGTTCTCCTGGAGAACCTCAAATTTTCCATGGAGACCCCAAAATTTCTCCAGGAACTTCAAAGTTTTTCTGGAGAACCTCAAAAATTCCATGGAAACATCAGAAGTTCTCCTGGAGAACCTCAAATTTTCCATGGAGAACCCAAAAGTTCTTCTGGAGACCCCAAAATTTCTCCTGGAGACCCCAAAACTCCTCCAGGAGGACCCAAAGCTCCTCGAGGAACCCTTGAGGAACCTGAGGTGTCCCCGTGTGTCCCCAGATGTTCATCATGGACAAGGTGGAGGGCGACATCTGCTCCCTGAGCGAGTTCTCCATCACCGGCTCCACCTACGCGCCCGAGGGAGAAGTGTGAGTCCACCAAGGTCCACCGAGTGTCCTCAGATGTCCCCAGGTGTCACCTGGAGGTCCTCAAAGCCACCCCTGGAGCTCCAGAGCTCCAGAACCTTCTCAGATGTCCTCAAAACCTCCTTAAATGTCTTCAAATCCCACCTGAAGGTCCCCAAATGTCACCTCGAGGTCCTCAAAGCCACCCCTGGAGCTCCAGAGCTCCAAAACCTCCTCAAAACCTCCTCAGATGTCCTCAAAACCTTCTCAGATGTTCTCAAATCCCACCTGAAGGTCCCCAGATGTCACCTTGGGGTCACCAATGTCTCCTGGTGTCCCCATGCCCACCTTGACCCCAATGTTCTCCATGACCTTGATGTTCCTCAGCGTTCTCCTGTCCCTCAGTGTTCTCCTTGACCTCAATGTCCATAATGTCCATGATGTCCATGATGTCCATGGTGTCCATGGTGTCCATGGTGTCCCTGATGTCCATGGTGTCCATGGTGTCCATGGTGTCCGTGATGTCCATGGTGTCCCTGATGTCCATGGTGTCCGTGATGTCCCCAATGTCCATGGTGTCCATGATGTCCATGGTGTCCATGGTGTCCACCCCACCCTGATGTCCATCCATGATGTCCATGGTGACCCTGATGTCCACCCCTGATGTCCATGATGTCCATCCCTGGTGTCCCATGATGTCCATGATGTCCATCCATGGTGTCCATGGTGTCCCTGATGTCCATGGTGTCCCTGATGTCCATCCATGGTGACCCTGATGTCCACCCCACCCTGATGTCCATGGTGTCCATGATGTCCATCCATGATGTCCATGGTGTCCATGGTGTCCATGATGTCCATCCATGATGTCCATGGTGTCCATGGTGTCCGTGATGTCCATGGTGTCCCTGATGTCCATGGTGTCCCTGATGTCCATGATGTCCATGGTGTCCATGGTGTCCATGGTGTCCGTGGTGTCCATGATGTCCATGATGTCCATGCTGTCCATCCATGGTGTCCATGGTGTCCATGGTGTCCACCCCACCCTGATGTCCATCCCTGATGTCCATGGTGTCCATGATGTCCATGATGTCCATGGTGACCCCGATGTCCACCCTGTCCATCCATGATGTCCATCCATGGTGTCCCCAATGTCCATGGTGTCCTGAATGTCCCTGATGTCTCCATGACCTCCATGACCCCCTGGTGTCCATTATGTCCACCTGGTGACCCCGATGTCCACCCCACCCTGATGTCCATCCATGGTGTCCATCCATGGTGTCCATGGTGTCCATGGTGTCCATGATGTCCATGGTGTCTGTGGTGTCCCCAATGTCCATGGTGACCCTGATGTCCATCCCTGATGTCCATCCCTGGTGACCCCGCTGTCCATGATGTCCATGGTGTCCATCCCTGGTGTCCCTGATGTCCATGATGTCCATGGTGTCCATGATGTCCATGGTGTCCATGATGTCCATCCCTGATGTCCATCCCTGATGTCCATCCCTGTGTCCACCTGGTGACCCCATGTCCCCCGCGGTGTCCGCAGGCTGAAGCAGGACCGTCCGGTCAAGGCTGGTCAGTTCGATGGCCTNTTATGGGTGGTGGGACCTCATAACAGGTGGTGGGACCTGGTTATGGGATGATAGGAGCTCGTTATGGGTGGTGGGACCTCATAATGGGTGGTGGGACCAGGTTATGGGTGGTGGGACCAGGGCTGGAGATGGTTTGGGGTGGTGGGACCTCGTTATGGGATGATAGGAGCTCATTACGGGTGGTGAGACCAGGTTATGGGTGGTGGGACATCGTTATGGGTGGTGGAACTCCATTTTTGGGTGGTGGGACCTGGTTATGGGTGGTAGGACCAGGTTATGGATGGTGGAACTTCATTTTTGGGTGGTGGGACCAGGTTATAGGTGGTGGGACATCGTTATGGGTGGTGGGACCGGGGTTGGAGAAGGTTTGGGGTGGTGGGACCTCGTTATGGGATGATAGGAGCTCATTATGGGTGGTGGGACCTTGGTTTGGGTGGTGGGACCTTGGTTTGGGTGGTGGAACTCCATTTTTGGGTGGTGGGACGTCGTTATGGGTGGTGGGACCCCATAACAGGTGGTGGGACCTCATAATGGGTGGTGGGACCTCGGTTTGGGTGGTGGGAGTTCATTTTGGGTGGTGGGACCTCATTTTGGGGGGTTTGGGACCTTTGAAGGGAGTTCCTGTTCTACCATGACCTCCAAACCCCATTTCTGGTGGTTCTTGGTCCTCTCTGATCTCCAAACCCAATTTTTAGAGGTTCCTTCTCCTCCACCACCTCCAAACCCCACTTTTGGAGATCCCTGGTCCACCATGATCATCACAATTCCATTTTTGGAGGTTCCTGCTTCTCCAAACTTCCATTTTTGGTGGTCCCACCACCTCCAAACCCCATTTCTGATGGTTCCTTCTTCTCCATGATCTCCAAACCTCCATTTTTGGTGGTCCCACCACCTCCAAACCTCCATTTTTGAAGTTTCCTTCTCCTCCAAACCCCATTTTTGGTGGTCCCACCACCTCCAAACCCCATTTTTGGAGATCCCCGGTCCACCGTGATCATCACAGTTCCATTTTTGGTGGTCCCACCACCTCCAAACCTCCATTTCTGGTGGTTCCTTCTTCTCCATGATCTCCAAACCTCCGTTTTTGGTGGTCTCACCACCTCCAAACCCCATTTCTGGTGGTTCCTTCTTCTCCATGATCTCCAAACCCCATTTTTGGTGGTCCCACCACCTTCAAACCCCATTTTTGAAGTTTCCTTCTCCTCCAAACCCCCATTCCTGGTCCTTCCTTCTCCACCACCACCTCCAAACCCCATTTTTGGAGATCCCTGGTCCACCATGATCATCAAAATTCCATTTTTGGAGGTTCCTGCTTCTCCAAACCCCATTTCTGGTGGTCCCACCACCTCCAAACCCCGTTTCTGATGGTTCCTTCTTCTCCATGATCTCCAAAACTCCGTTTTTGGAGGTTCCTGGTTCTCCAAACCCCATTTTTGGTGGTCCCACCACCTCCAAACCCCATTTCTGATGGTTCCTTCTTCTCCATGATCTCCAAATCTCCATTTTTGGAGATCCCTGGTCCACCACCACCTCCAAACCCCATTTCTGGTGGTTCCTTCTTCTCCATGATCTCCAAACCCCATTTTTGGTGGTCCCACCACCTCCAAACCTCCATTTTTGAAGGTTCCTTCTCCTCCAAACCCCCATTCCTGGTCGTTCCTTCTCCACCACCACCTCCAAACCCCGTTTTTGGAGATCCCTGGTCCACCATGACCTCCAAACTCCATTTTTGGTGGTCCCACCACCTCCAAACCCCATTTTTGGAGGTTCCTGGTCCTCCAAACCCCATTTTTGGTGGTCCCATCACCTCCAAACCCCCATTCCTGGTCCTTCCTTCTCCACCACCACCATCTCCTGACCTCCCACCACCTCCAAACTCCATTTTTGGAGATCCCTGGTCCACCATGATCATCACAATTCCATTTCTGGTGGTCCCACCACCTCCAAACCCCATTCCTGGTCCTTCCTTCTCCACCACCACCTCCAAACCCCATTTTTGATGGTTCCTTCTTCTCCATGATCTCCAAA